AAACTAGTATTAAACTGGTATTAAAATAACATCAATCTATAGTAAATTTAATATATAAGCTGTGACCTACTTATATGTTTTTATAGTAAATTTAAGTATTGAAGTGATATTAAAATGGTATTGAAATAGTCCTTGAGAAAAGAGAGTCAATTAACCAGAGGAGTGATGTTATAAAGATAGAGTTTTCAAAAAAAAAACAGAGGCCTAGAGAAAAAAACCTTTAAGAAAAAGAAAAAGCCTAGCTTTGGCAAAAAAAAAAAGAAAAAAAAGAAAGAGAAGAGGTATGAGATAAAAAAAGTATATAGAAAAGAGAAGAAAAGATAGGAGAAGAAAAATAAAGAGATATAAAAAGGGAAGCATAAGAAGAGAAAAAAGATGAAGATGAAGAAAAAGTAAACAATTCAAAAATTTTCTAAAAAGGAAATTTTCAAGTATAGAAAAGGGAGTGGAAAAGAGTTTTTTTTTTCCAATTATTTATATATTTTAATAATAACTTAATTAATTATTTTAAGAATTTACAAATTTTAATAATATATATAGTATAAGTTAAATTAAAGTAATTAATTTGTTATGATTTTACTATAATAATATAATAAATATAAATATAAAAGAATAAAAAAAACACTCATTACTAATATTTCTTTATATAATTAAAAGATAAGCAAGATTTTTAAATTTAAGTAAACTTTGATTAAAGATTTTATTCTATTATATTAATTATTTTAAAAGTTTTAAACTGAAACTAAAATTTCTAATGATATTATTTTAGTATCAAATTGATACTGGATTTATTATGAATTTAATATAGTAGATTACAACCTATATATTAAATTTATTATAAGTCAATATCAAGTCAGTACTATTTTGATACTTATTTTAAAACCCTAGCTAAGACTTATTTAGGATTTCTAATGATACTGTTTTAGTACCAAGTTGGTACTAAATTTACTATAGGTTTAATATAGTGAGTTACAATCCATATATTAACTTTATTATAAGTTGATATCAAGTCAGTACCATTTTAGTACTTGATTAGAAACCTTAGGTTTATTTGTAATAAAAAATAAAAAATATTTTTTTTTATTTAAAATTATTACAAAGAAATTTTTTTTAACAAAACAAATATAATCAGAAGAATGTTTTTTTTTTAATCTATTGTATTTAACTATTTTAATTATTAAATAAAAATTTTATATAACAAATATATTAGATATATAAATTTTAAAATAAAAAATAAAAATATTATATTTAAATAGATTATTAAAAAATTTTTATAAGTTTTTTATTACTTAATTTAAAAAATAAATTATCGATTTTATAAATATTTCTAAATACTTATAATATCTGTTATAAGCTTTTTTATAAATTTAAATAATTGTTTTAAACTAATATTATATATATATATAAGAATTAAATATTATTAAAAGCTATATTATAATAAAATTATATAAAAAAATCTTTTTTATATACAATTTTTTCTTAAAAATTTTTTTTATAGTAATTTTTTTTATTTTTAATATTCAAAGGTTTTTTATATTTTTTATATTTTTATTACAAAAGTCTTAATAAAATTAAATAAATATATTAATATATTGAAAAAAACCTTTAATCAAAAGAAAACAAGTTTAAGAATCTTGTTTTTTTTTTAAATTATATAAAAAAAAACTTATGATAATTACTTTTTTATAAATTTTTCTTAAAATTTTTTCTATTTTTTTTTCTTTTAATTAAAACTCTAAAAAGTATTAAATTGATATTAAACTAGTATTGAAATAGTATTGATTTATAATAAATTTATAATAAATTTAAGTATTGAACTAATATTGAAATAGTACTTCAGGTAAAGGCAGTTAAATAAAATTAATATAGTATTTGGTGCCATAACCTGAAATACGCTGTTTCTTATAAGAAGCCGATTTATATACTAATCCAATAAGAGTTGAGATTATGATTTTTAAAAGAAACATGATACAAAGATCATCCAGTTAATGCATAATAATTATCAGAAAAATAGGAAGCATCAAAATATTTAAATATATAGACAGAGCTATACATGTTGCTAAAATTCATAGATCCTTGATGCAATTGACACAATTATTTGACACAATTAATTGAGTCACTATTAAAACATATAAATAATTGAGTCATGACACAATTATTTTTGAGGATTTTAGGAATTGAGTCAACAGCAAAATAATTTATATCACATGTATAGACAAAGCTATACTTTATTCTAATCAATTCCATATGACATTCAATTGATGTTAGTTGAAGCCCTAGTCTAGGCTATCTCAATTTGATGCAGAATTTAAAAAGATAATACCTGCTGTAAGTGATGAGAATGATCATAACTTGTATAAATCTAGAATTGGTATAAGTTATAATTAGAGATTCAAGCAATAAGATAGAAGAAAGTATTTGAATTAACTCTTCTAAGCATTACTTTTCCTATAAGCCAGATTTAAAATAGATTAGATAGTTTAAAATATACATGTGATGTAAATTATTTTGCTGTTGATTCAATTTCCAAAATTTTCAAAAATAATTGTGTCATGACTCAATTATTTATATGTTTTAATAGTAACTCAATTAATTACGTCAAATAATTGTGTCAATTGCGTCAAGGATCTATGAATTTCAATAACATGTATAGTTTAAAACTAATAGTAGGATTTTTACTTTTATAAATCTGCCTCTTGAATTCCTAAGTAAAATTATTAAGTAATAGACAATCAGGTTCTGAGAAGAAAGTGCTTATGTAAGGATAATCTGTAAGATAAAACTTGTATAAGTTTTCAAATGTAATTCAAATATACTTTACATATTAATAAAAAGTTTTGTGTTGATGTACTTGGCCACTTTAAAAAAAAAATAATTAATATTAAAATAGTATTAAAGTAATATTATTAAAAACTCTATTTCTAATATACATATCTTATTAAATAATTATATTTTTTGTTTAAAAAACTTTTTTTTAATTTAAAAAATTAAATTTTATATCAAAATTGTTTATAATATTAACTTGAAGCATTAACAATATATTTAATATTTATCTTTTACTATTACTTAGCATGCTTTGTTATATTATAAAAAATTAGAATTAGTTTACTTTTATTAATTAATATATATTTTTAATTCAATTAATTAAATATTATTAAATATTAAAACAAATTTATATAATTAATATATTTTATAAAATTAATATAAACAAAATTTATTTTAATAATAATAATCAAAACAAAATTATATTATTGACAGATAAATCAATTATTATATTAACAAGAATATTAATAACTATAATAACAAAATATAATTTAAGTAAAATATTAATAAAACTATTATTTACTTTAGACAATAGTTTGGTTATTTTTGAAAATAGTATTTTATTTTAGTTAAATAAAACAATTAATATAATATATCTAATCCAAAATATTCTTTATATTATAATTAGTCTTTTTTATATCTTATTATTATTATTATTAAATATTTAAATATAAACAATAATGCTATTATTTTTATTAACAATAATTTAAAAAATAGCTATTAAAAAAACATATTATGGGTAATTATTTTTAAACGTGACAAAAATGCTAGATGTGATTTTTTCGAATCCAACTTTTAAACAATACATATTTAATATAAATTTTAGAAATACATCAGAAAATTTTCAATCCGTCTTTGAAAATAATTATCCTTATTAATACTATTATATACTTTAGATTATAATTTGACTATTTTATATACTTTAAAAAAATAAAACTATCAAATTGATATTAGATATTATTTGGATTGATATATAGCAAAACCATACATTGAAAAGTTTTAACAAAAATTGAAATTTTCAGTAAATTATATTTTCAAGAATGTCCTTTATTTGTGATAAAAGTTTAGATATACTATATATTAATCTATTATAATTTGGTACAATCTTGCATACAGTTTTTTAATTTTATATGACTCAATATAAAAATTTAAATTGATAATTATCGATATCTTCAAATAAGGATTTTGTCTTAGAGTATAGTTTTGCTGTATACTAATTCATTTGTATTATAATTAGTTTTTTTGTTATTTTTTTTTATTTAATATTTTCTTTTTTCTCTTTTATATTTTTTTAAATCTTATCTTATATAATTTTAAATAGATATTTATATAACTACTTAATATTATCTTTAATATATATTTATTTTAATATATATATTTTTTATTGTTTAAATAGTTTCTATAAATAAGCTAATATTAGTCTTATTAATCAATTGATTATATAAGAGATCTTATTACTTTTTTTTTGTAAAATATTTTAAAACTTTTATTATATAATAAAATAATAATATTTATTTTTTTAAAAAAGCTATATTATAACAGAATTTTATTGTTTAAATTGAATTTTATTAAATTTCAAGTTTATTATTATATATTTTTAAATTTTTGTTTATCTTAATAAATATAATATCTGTTTTTATTTGTAAAAACTAGTAATAAACTATATAATAAAAAGTTTTTTTTTAATAATTATTTTTATATTTGTACATACAATATAAAAAAACATAAGTTTACAAAAAAAAACAAAACAATTAAGTATCAATATTTTAAACTTGCAACTAGTGGAATATATATATATATTGAAAAGACAAGATAATTATCAAATCTTTTAACTTTATAATAAATATATTTTTATTTAATTTATATAATTTAATAGTAATAAAATTTTATTATATTAAGATATTTACAGTATATAATCTTGTTATAATCAAATATAATCATTTATTGTTATATTAAAAAATTAATTAATTACAGTATATTAATATCAAATATAAATTATTTCTTATTTCAAAACTTTATTAAAATTCATTTTATTTTATAGTTTATTTTTATTTTATAATTATATAATAATTTTAAAATTTAAATTTAAATACTTTGAAAATGAACCAAACCTTTTTTTATCTAATTGATATCGTGACATTTCTTAATGCACGTAATTCTCTTTCGCGACAAAGGAGATGGAACTTCAAAATGTTCGGTCAACAGTAACAAAGTCACTTTTGCTCGCGAAATCCTTGCTTTTTGACCCAGAATTCTTTTGGTATACAGCAACTTGTTTACTCTTAGGAGAAGCGGTTTTGAATGTGCTCATAATTAAATATGTGTCATGTAAGGTTAAAATGATTGAAATTTAATATCTTATGCAGTTTGGTAGTGATACGTTTTGATATTTAGTTACAGAGATCGACTGGCAGGCTTATATGCAAGAAGTTTCAATCTTCTTGAACGGCGAGAGGGATTACACAAATTTGGTCGGTGATACTGGACCGTGTGTGTAAGTGGCTACCATTACCTTAAAAAATGTGATAGTATTCAAATATACGCGATTAATGTAAAACTCTTATTCAGATACCCTGCCGGTTTTGTGTATGTGTACTCTGCTCTCTATTATCTATCCTCAGGAGGAGCCAACATTCGAAAAGTACAATACATATTCGCAATTGTATATCTGTGGACATTATACGTTGTATTCAATCTTTATCGCAGATCTCGACAGGTATCTTAAATAATCATCTACTATCGATTTTTTGAATCATACTGACTTTAGACAGATACCGCCGTATGTCCTAATTTTTATATGCGTGTCTAAAAGACTGCATTCGATTTACGTTCTGAGATTATTTAACGATGTCATAGCCATGACCCTTTTGTATACGTGTATGTGGGCCATGATTGAAAAACGGTGGAAATTGAGCTGTGTGATTTATAGGTATTGTGGTTTTTAAATTGCTTTGAACGTTGCAAAGGAGAATTGATTGTGATCTAACAATATAACTTTGTTCGTTAGTTTGGCGCTATCCATCAAGATGAATGTTCTCCTCTTCTTTCCTGCATTTGGCGTTCTCCTATTCAAGTCACTGGGAACTTGGAGAACTTTAGCACACCTGACATTAATTCTTCTCGTGCAGGTTAGTCAACGAATATGATTTTGTTTATTTTAATGCCGTGTAGTCTTTTGATTTTTATAATCTTATATGTCATCTAGGTTATTTTGGCTTATCCATTTTTGGTAACATACCCACGATCCTATATAGGGCGCGCTTTTGAATTTTCCCGCGTGTTCACATATAAATGGACTGTAAATTGGAAATTTTTTGATGAAGAGACATTTATAAATACAGGATTCTCCAACGTTCTCCTGATTGGACATGGTTTCGTTTTGATGACCTTCCTATTTAGAAGATGGTGTCGGTAGGTCATAATATTGAGTCAATGATCAAGTTCACAAACTTACTTTCATGACCTAAGGTTTGCCAATATTTTTCGAACATAGTACAGATGGCGGTGTTCTTCCTTTGCTATTTCGCGGTTTTTTTTGGAGGCGCGAAGACATTTTTCGACAATCAAAGGCTGTTACGGCTGATCGTGAGTGGATTATTTTATAAAAAAACAGTCATTTCAATTATTATATTACAGTCTCTAATTACTTCACGAATCTTTAATGATGATCGCGATTGCCCAACAAAATAGATATAAACACTTTAATGTTGACAAGCAATTTTATTGGAATTTTGTTTTCTCGGACGCTGCATTATCAGTTTTACTCGTGGTATTTTCACGGCTTACCATTTCTTTTATGGCATTGCACGAAAATACCTGTTCCTTTTAGGTAAAGATCTATATTATCAATTCGACGGTGAGTAAATCCTTGATATAAATTAACCTTAATAAACTTTTATATTGAAGGATCGCAGTAATGGCAATAATTGAATACTGTTGGAACGTCTATCCGTCCACGAGTAAAAGTTCTTTGATACTTTTTGCCAGTCATTTAATTGTGCTAACGGGATTGTGGAGTGGTGATTCAGAGGGTCGCAGGTATGAAGCGAT